GGTTGAGCTCTTGCCTATTTCTACAGCATCCTCCTTGGGGTTCCTTAATTCCCCTGAGACCACAGTCACAGTCATCCACCCATCTGTCTAGTGAAGGAAAGCCCTGGAGAACTGGGTCCTTGCCTTCCTCTGTTGGAAGGACTGACTTTTAGAGCATCTTCATCCTTCCTGGCGGAGATGGCAGCAGATGACGTGGCCTCACCCTCTGCTCTCCCACATACTTTATTCCTCTTCTTGGTGTCTTTTCTTTTTTTTTCTTTTCTTTTCCCTCAACACTTTATTTTAAATTTATTTCTTTGTCAATTTTCATCAATTTCCCTTTTTAAAAAATTGTTCTTTAAGTTCTTGCAGGATTATTTTAAAGGTACCCATATGCCATGCTAGTTTTCTGCCTCCATTCCCTCATCACCTACATCAGGCATTTCTCCCAATGTTATTCCTCCCCAATATCTCCACCCCTTGCTATCCTTCCCATAGTCCCCTATCCCCCAACTGACTCCAGTATGTGATGTTCCCCTCCCTATGCTCAAGTGTTCTCATTGTTCAACACCTGCCTATGAGTGAGAACATGTGGTGTTTGGTTTTTTTGTTCTTGTGTCAGTTTGCTGAGAATGATGGTTTCCAGATTCATACATGTCCCTGCAAAGGGCATTAACTCAACCTTTTTATGGCTGAATAGTATTCTGTGGTGTATGTGTGCCACATTTTCTTTGTCCCATCTATCATTGATGGGCATTTGGGTTGGTTCCAAGTCTTTGCTATTGTAAACAGTGCCACAATGAGCATATGAGTGCATGTGTCTTTATAACAGAATGATTTATAATCCTTTGGTTATATATCCAGTAATGGGATTACTGGGTCAAATGGTATTTCTATTTCTAGAACCTTGAGGAATCACCACACTGTCTTCCACAACGGTTGCACTAATTTACACTCCCTCCGACAGTGAAAAAGTATTCCTATTTCTCCACATCTTCTTCAGCATCTGTTGTCTCCAGACTTTTTAATGATTGCCATTCTAACTGGCATGAGGTGGTAGGCAATACCATTCAAGACATAGGCATAGGTAAGGACTTCGTAACTAAAACACCAAAAGTAATGGCAACAAAAGCCAAGATAGACAAATGGGATCTATTCAAACTCCAGAGCTTCTGTACAGCAAAAGAAACAATCATTAGAGTGAACCAGCAACCAACAGAATGGGAAAAATTTGTAAGATCTATACATCTGACAAAGGGCTAATAACCAGAATCTACAAAGAACTTAAACAAATTTACAAAACTAAACAAAACAAACAAGCCCATCAAAAAGTGGGTGAAGGATATGAACAGTCACTTTTCAAAAGGAGACATTTATGAAGCCAACAAACTTATGAAAAAATGTTCATCATCGCTGGTCATTAGAAGAATGCAAATCAAAACCACATTGAGATATCATCTCATCTGCTAAGTTCTTAATGACAATGATTATACTTTTTCATTTCCAAGACTTCCCCTTGATTTTGCGTCATAAAAGTCAACTCCTGTTCTTGTTCATGGATGGAATACCATATTCCATTTCTCTAAAGATATTGATCACTTTGAGTAATGTTTAGTTCTAAGGCCCTGTGGGCTGTACAATCTTCTTGTTCTTATTCTCAGACTTTTGGAAATTTCTATTTCCAGCCACCCCTGAACCATGGGCTCATCTTTCCTGAACTCTCAGGCTGGGCAGCCGGTCTGGGATGAGGGGCTGAAGCAGCTGCCAGTGTTTGGGCTTCTTCTTATTTTTTGTGAGAACAGGAGATGCATAAATAGAGCTAAAGACAGCAACAGGTCTTTAGAGCTTCCCTGGGCTCTCTGTCAGCTACTTAGGGCCCTTCCCTGTCTCTCCATCCTCAACACTACAGAGGAGGAGTGCCCAAGTGTTCACAGAACAAACTGCCCCCACTACAACAGCTCTACCAAATGCTAATTGGCTGTTCCTAGCCCTCTCCTGCTCCAGGGCTCCACACTTCCAGACGTGGAGCAATAATTATGCTGCACCCACGCCTTAGTGTATCCTTTTCTCTTGCCCATCTCAAGCCCCTCCTCTCAGTCCCTCAGGAAATCCGTGAAGCCTCTAGACCATGAAGAAGCCTACTTCCTGTTTGTAGGTATGACTAGAGATGCATGTGTTTATCCCAGTTCCATAATTCTCTAGATTTGGTACAGTAGAGGGAGCCCGCAGCACAGTTACTCAGTCTGACATATTGAAACCACCACATTCAAAATCTCACCCTTAAACTGAGCCTCCTGAAAAACACACAGAATATACAGGAATTCATGGAAACACTGGTACCGATTACATATGTTGGTCATAGACACAGTTTCCCCTTCCCCTCTTTTGAGTCTACATCACAAGAAACGACATTCCCAGGCTTTTTTAACAGCCAGCTTCTGGTTAACTTCAGCCAATGGGAGGCACTGGTGGAAGACTGAAAGGATGATGTGGGAGAAGCCAAGGATCTCCCTCTGGATGGTAACTCAACTAGCACCTGTGGCTCTTCAGTGGCTGCAGCTGCTGTCAGACAGTGCTCAGTATGGTCTAGCTTCTGCCTGTCAGCTCCTACTCTTAGGTTCTGATAGCATCACCTTCTCCTATTGTCCCTGCAATCTTAGGGATATAGAAGTTCCTGCTGTTCTGATCTCTAGGGTGTTGCTTTATTTCCTGTTTAGCTTCTCAGCAAAACTGTCTCCTAGCAATCAATTTCCTATATTAAATTCTTTGTGTTAAAAGGCCTAGAATGGTTCTCTTTTCTTGGCTGGATCCTGATTTGTAGATCAAAATTCTGAAGAGACATTTTCAAAGACAGTAATTGGTAATTCCTGTCTTTGAGGGGAAAGGAGCACCACAGTGAAGATAGTATTAAGTTAGTGTTTTCAATATCTACCATATCCTAAGTTGTTTGAAGAAATGACATAAGACTTTTTTTAAACATGAATTTTTGGCAATATGCATCCCCTTAATTGCAAATATGCCACAGAGAAGTCTAGCAAGAAAAGCTTTAGGGACTATCATATTATTAAACACAGTGTTCTGGAATTAGAAAACACTATCCTGGAGGAGTGAAAGCTTTAACTCTAACAGAAACCTTGCTAAGGCTTCTCAAGCTTTAGACCTACCTTAGGGGCAGCTAGGAAACAGTTTAAAAATCAGGAGACAACAGATGATGGAGAGGATGTGGAGAAACAGAAACACTTTTACACTGTTAGTGGGGGTGTAAATTAGTGCAACCATTGTAGAAGACAGTGTAGCAATTCCTCAAGGAGCTAGAAATAGAAATGCCATTTGACCCAGCAATCCTATTACTGGGTATACACTAAAAGGATGATAAATTGTTCTATTATAAAGATACATGCACTCATATGTTCATTGAGGCACTGTTTACAATAGCAAAGACTTGGAACCAACCAACCAATCCAGTCAATTATAGACTGGATAAAGAAAATGTGGCACATATACACCATGGAATACTATGCAGCTATAAAAAAAGGATGAGTTCATGCCATTTTCAGGGACATGTATGAATCCAGAAACCATCATTCTCACCAAACTGGCACAAGAACAGAAAACCAAACACCAAGTCTTCTCATTCATAAGTGAGTGTTGAACAATGAGAACACATGGACACAGGGAGGGGAACATCACACATCAGGGCCTGTTGGGGGGTGGGGAGGCTAGGGGAGGGATAGTAGGAGGTCGGGGGATTTGGGAAGGATAACGTTAGGAAAAATACCTAATGTAGATGACGGGGTGATGGATGCAGCAAACCACTATGGCATATGTATACCTATATAACAATCTTGCATAATCTACACATGTACACCAGAACTTAAAGTATAATGATAATAATAAATAGTTTAAAGACAATTACTTTTTTTTTTTTTTTTTTTTTTTTTTTTTTTTTTTTTTGAGGTGGAGTCTTGCTCTGTCACCCAGGTTAGAGTGCAATGGCACCATATTGGTTCACTGTAACCTCTGCCTCCCGGGTTCTAGCGATTCACCTTCCTAGCCTCCCGAGTAGCTAAGACTATAGGTGTTCACCACCATGCCCAGCTAATTTTTGTATTTTTAGTAGAGATGGGGTTTTAGCATATTGGCCAGGCTGGTCTTGAACTCCTGACCTCAGGAAATCCACCCACCGTGCCCTCCGAAAGTGCTGAGATTATAGGCATAAGCCACTGCGCCCTACCGACAATTACTTTTATTCTCTCTCTTATTTACCATTTTCTCCATTGAGGGAGGGTTAGGTGAAATGACAGTATATCTTTAGAAAAGTTCTATGTTGCACTATTTCTTATTTGCGAATAGAGAATGTCACTGCCTTCAAAGCCTGGCCCATTCTTACTACCCAACATGCTTAATAAGCAGCACAGAAACAAGAAAGCCCACTGTGATCAGAGAGAGAATGACAGCCACATTGTACCACTGATATGCCATATGGCTGCAAATCTAAAAGACTCTGAAAGATGCCGCACTTGTATTAATCCCTGAATACCTGCTTTCATTCCCAGTTCGAGTGTTTGAGCTATAATATATGGGCCATCCATTTATTAAAGGAAAGAGCTTACTTTGGCATGGAATAAATTGGTGCTTGTAGTAAGATGCTGTTTAACACAAAGGATGTTTCTTGAATTCCTTTTAGATCTGAGATCCACAGCTCAAGAGTGTTTGGTGTGTGTGTTTTAAAATTGCACGACTATTATACAATTCCTTTTCTTCAGCTGGCATGAGAAGGATATTCCCATCCTCTCTTTGCTCTGTTCTTTACTTCCTCAAAGCTGAGGCGGCAAAAACACTGCCAGCCTTATCCAGCTTTTCATGGAAAGCTGCCACTCTTAACTGGCGCCTAAATGCAATTTCAGACTGTCCCAGGAGACCTTCATGCTTTGAGGTGAATTTGTAACATTAGGGCCAACAAAGAAGTTAACACAAACTTTCACTGTTAAAAGAAAACGCAAAAGAGTCTGCAGGCTTACTGAAGGAGCTCTGCTTCTGTGAGTGCCTCTGTCCTCGGCTCCCCAGTGACCATGGCCAGCTCATCCTTCAGTTCCTGGATTTCCTTTTGTAGGCGTTTAATTATCTACAAATGGCAAAGAGGCAGAGAAAATGTCAACTTCTCATTAAGGTGAACTTGGTGACAGAGAACACACGGCTCTTAAAATTATCATCAATTTTATAGACACAAAAATGGGTAATGGTATAAAAAGTAAGCTTTGTTATATCTTAATGTTTTGTCAAAATCATTCTAGAATTTTTTAAAGCAAATAAAACATGACTGGTGTAACTGGAACCCCCTATTGTATCCCTCCTCCATTCTTCCTGGGGTGATCACTGTACTGCATTTAGGGAGTCTCATTTCTGTGTTTTCATACATTTACTCCATATGTACGCATGTACCCATAAATAATGTATTGCATCATTTTGCAAGCCTTAAACCTTATGTAAATGTTACATTACTGTACATATTTGCAACTTGTTTTTCTCCTTCACATTATCTTTTTAAGCTTATTTATATTGCTTCATGTGGCTCTAGTTCATTAATTTTCATGGATATATAGTATTTCATTAAAGGAACATATCAGAATCTATTTGTCTCCCATAAATGAACATTTAGGATATTTACTTTTGCTATTATGAACAATGTTGCTATGAACATTATGAATCTCACGCACGTAAGCCTTTCTCTATAGTGTACACTTTAGAAGTAGGATTTCCTGGCTGGAGAGTATGTGCATCTTGCCTTTATTATATATCATTAAATTGCTCATCAGATAAGTTGTACGAATTTGTATTCCTATCAATCACAGATGTAAGTTCCTGTTTCCCACATTTTTGTCACTATGTAATATTGACAGGTACTTTCATTTTGCCAGTCTGATAGGTGTAAAATGATATCTCATTTTGTTTCTAATTTGCATTTTTGTCATTATTTGTGAAGTTGATCATTTTTGCATATGTATATTGGCAATTTGGGTTCTTTCTTGCTCAAATTATTTATTCACATTCTTGCCCATGTTTCAATTTAATTGTTTTCCTTTCCTTATTGATATGCTAGCTTCTTTCTATATTCCGGATGGGAATCCTTTGTTAGTTTTAAGCAATGCACCTGTTTTCTCTCAATCTAGGTCAGGTTTTTCACTTTGTGGTGTTCTTTTGGTTAAATGAAAGTTCTGAATTTCAGTATAATATAATTAGCACCTCCTTTCTTTATGGGTTGTACTTTTGTGTCCTTTTAAAGAAAATCTATCTTATCCTAAATCATAGGAATATATTCTTATATGATCTTTTTAAAATGTTAAAGGTTTGATTTTTCACATTTAGGTGGATTTTATTTTGTATAAGATATAAAATAGGAATCGAATTTTAATTTATTTTAAATGGCTAGCCATACAAGATTTGCTATTATAATTATATTACATAACATGTTGATATATATAAATGTGCCTGTTTCTGGGCTATTGGTTAAAAACAATTTGTTTATTTTACTATGCATGGCAATACCACACTGATTTAACTACTAAATCCTAAGAAAGTTGGCATCTAGATAAGATAAGTCCATTTCATCTTGTTCTTTTCCAAAATAGACTTGGCTATTCTTGGCCATTAGCTCTTCCGTGTAAATTTTAGACCCAACTTGTCAAATTCTACCAAAGGCTCTCTTCAAATTTTGACTGGAATTACTACATTTAATTAAAAGGTTAATTTGGTAGGACATTAAATTAATGATATTAAATTATCCCATCCATAAACATGGTATAGCTTTCCAACTGATTCCTTTACATAAGGATTTATAATTTTCTTTATAAATACCTTACATGTCTTCAATTATATTTTCTATCAGGAATTTAGAAGTTTTTGTTGATACTGTAAATAGAATTTTTATAAAATTATTTATTCTAATTTTTGGTTTCTGGAATATAGGAAAGGCAACTCATTTTTAATGTGTGGATTATATAACAATTTTCTCAAACTCTGGGGGTTCCATCTATCATTAAATACTCTTGGATGTTCTATATAAGCAATAAAATTGTCTACAAGTAATGACATGATTTTCTTCTTTTCTAATTCTTATATATTTTATATATTAAATATATATTTATATATAATTCTTATATATTTTATATATAAGAGGCAGTCTCATTTTCCTAGCTAGGACTTCCAAGTTCAATTCTTAAGACATTTCTGTCTTATTTCTTCTAACATTTCACCTTTAAATGATGTTTACTATAGTTTTTGGTTGATACACTTATTCAGTTTAAAGATGTTCACTTATATTCATAGTTTGATGTGTCTTTTCAAAGTATGGTTGAATATTTAATATGCTCAAACACTTTTTCTGCAACTAGAGATGAAATAATAATTTCTCTCTTTAAGCTCTGAATGTGATAAATCACACTAATTCATGTGATTAGTGTTTTAGTATAAACGATCTCAGGTATGTAAAATAATGTAAAAGAATACCTTGTACCCACTACTTACCTTAAGTGAACATCCAGGTACCCACTACTTAAGAAATAGAATATTACAGACCTGTTTAAAGACCTCACCCCTACGCAGCCTTCCCTGAATGAATTCCTCATTACCATTATCCTAAATTTGGTTTTAATTTTTCCCATTTTTGTCTTATTGATGTATACTATACATTGATGTATTTTCTAGTGATAGATTACCTTGAATTCCCAAAATAAACCCAACTTAGTCATGATACCATAAGTCATATTAATAATATTCCTATCGTAATGCAAAATTAGCAGACTTGATCCAGCTTTTATTCTTTTTTAAATATTTGGTATTACTCAAAACTTGAAAGAAAAACACCATAGGATCTGGTCCATCCTTCCTTCCTTCCTTCCTCTCAGTAGCTTTACTCATTAGACTAAAAGGGTTAGTAAATTTGAACTTCAAATCTATGTGAGGTGGAGCTAGGTTTCAAATTTTCAGAGAAGCTACTTTTGTTCTGCCTAGAGTCCAGTCTAAAGTAGACAAGCTGCCCTGACATCTCCATGTGGTAGTGAATAGACTGTTTCCTTTTCTAGTTCTCCCTTTCACTGGTTTTATGTTGGGGAAAGGAGACGATGTCTTAGGTTCAGTATCCATCTTGCAACATCCCAAGGCTTTGATCTCTGTTCATTGGCTACAACTTCCTTTACATCTCCACTCTAGGACAACTGCAGCCTCTATTAGTTTCTGGGCCCTGGAGAATTCCCTTACTTCCTTTCAACCTTACATATGTATTTCAAAGATGCTTGGGTATACAAGTGAGTTTCAGATTATTTGGGCCATAACAAGAGGACCAGCAGTCCGAAAGAACATTATATTGAGTATTTTGAACATCTCAGTGCTCCTAGAATTTTACTGAAATGTACAGGATCATGTGGGTTTTGTTTCTTTTTTTTTAAAAAAAAAAAAAAAAGTCTTAGGATCATCGATCTAACACAGAATGAAAATTCTGAGACAGTCACTACATTGGCACCTTTCTCTATTAAACTAACATTGATATCATATTCTATTTTTACTAAGGCTTTTAAAGTCAAATCTAATACCAAATTATCTTCCTGTCTTATTGAATAAAAATCTCAAAACTAAGCCAAGTTCTTGTGGTTCTGAGATGACTGTAGTTATGCTTCCCATCCGGTTACTGAAGGGACCTTGGCATTAGAGGCATCCTTAGATTTGAGCCCATGCCCCATCACCACAGGCTCTGGTCTTGTTCATAGTTCTTTTATCATTTTGATTCTCTGAGATACCAATACTTTTAAAGGAAGCAGAGCAACTCCTTGGTGATCATGATCATATAGGCTAGCTCTATATTTGCCATTAATTTTGACAGTAAGATACAGGAAATGCCACCCAAGTTTTGTTTTGAGTGGTTTGTAGGACAAATTCTCAATTGTCACTTGTGCCTCAGACAAGCTCTGCATATAAAATGACTGACAGTAATGTCAGTTTTTAGAAGCAATTATAAAAGAGACCAGAAACCAACACTTGCCAATTACCAGATCAGTCTGCACCAGGAAGACCTCAATATTTGTTCAATTATCAGCTATTAGCTTTTGATTCCTGATTTCTCTTTTCTTCAAAACTCTCACAGACCCATATCAAACACATGATAATGTTTACCTTTCTTCAAATTCTTCACGTTCCTTCAAAGGAAATCTCTAGTCAAATGCAAACAAAACAAAACAAAACAAAAACCTCAAAAAACAAAAACGCTCCAATGTGTGTAATACGTTTATTTTCCTTAACTTATGAACTAGTTTTTGTCTTGGGGCCAATAACTTTAACTCTCTTATTCAGCACTATAATGCTATTGGGGTGCTGGAAGGGTAGGGACAGCAACAAAATCCACCCTAGGAGTTCAGTCCCACTTGAATCATGCCTTTCCATTCTGTCTCCTTTCTCCAGCAGGAACACTGTGTGCTGCTGATTCCTCACCAGGGACTATCCTGAAATAGATCCTGCCTCACTCAGTGGTTTCTCCAGAAGAGAACTCCATCAGGGGAATGTGGTGCTTTCTGAGGCAAGCAGAATAAAACAGATAGCCTCGTTATTCCTTTGTCCTCCTTTCCCTCTATCCTTCCATGGGGAGAAAGAGGAGAAAAGACAAATAACAGGAAGTAATTATGGGAAACAACTAATTTAATAATTTTTTTGGATTTGGGAAATTTGTAAATGAAACACTGTTGGTAAGATTTCACATCTTTTTTTTTTTTATAATGCAGATTACTAAACCCACACTAGCTTATTTACTAGAGAAATAAGAAAAACTGAGTGATTTGAAAAATAATGTAACATTAATTTGGATTTTGACACAATTGAGATATTTTATTTTAACATTTTCAGTGTTGGCATAAATGGATTCAGTGTTGTATTTCATTTACAGAAAACTAACAAAATAGAGAATAGAAAACTTCCACATTTATGATGAACTAAATTATTACCATGTAAATTATTATTATTTTTTTTGCTTAAAAACAGTGCTTTGATAAAGCAGGATTTATTGTTATAAGAAACTAGAAGTTTGATTACTGTTCCACAGATCAAACCATTAATGAATTTTTTAAAACTCTAGAACAAGTAACAGAACAAGTATGTAAAATATAGTTCTACTGAATATGAGGACTTCTCTTTCTTTCTGAGGTTTCATATAAGGTGGACTATTATAGTCTCTAGATAAAGTGATATATTTTAAAAGGCTAAGTTCTGCATATAAATGTAATTGTGTGTGACTCTGTTGGATGAGTCCTTAGGACTCCCTGCATGTCTTGTAGTGAAGCAATAAGGAGCAGCCGGCAGGAAGAGCAGAGGCTCTTGAGTTAAACTGCCTGCATGTGAAGCCTGCCTCTGCGACTTATTAGCACTATGATTCTGAGCAAGTTATCAAACATCTTTTTACCTCAGTTTTGTTATCGCTGAGGTGGAGATAGAGATAGCATCTGTTCATAGGTTATTTAGAGGATTAAATGAATTAGTATGTTTCCACCACTTAGAAGATTCCCAGTACAGAGTAAGTGCACCTACAAGTTTTAGCCAATCTTCGATATACTTTAATACGTATTTTTCACTATGGTTAAAAGTTGCTTACCAATCTAGGATCAATTTCTTCATTAAGAACAGCTTCATTCTTTATGAGTGCCACTCGCTGTGCAAATCTGCAGGTAGATATAGACTCCTAACAAAGCAAAGTAAATTCTTAAAATATTATGGCATAGATAGATCTTTCTCTCTAGATAAAACTTAAATTTTTTTTTCCCACAGAAAAAAGATACACACCTAAAGAGTGATGTGTATAAAAATCACAACGAGGAACCAAGCTCCTACATTAGGAAGATTTGCTCTAGAATAGTAGTCCCCAACCTTTTTGGCAGAGGGACTGGTTTTGTGGAAGACAATTTTTCCATGGACAAGGGGTAGAGGTGGTGTGGTTTCAGGATGAAACTGTTTTAAATCAGAACATCAAGCATTAGATTCTCATAAGGAGTGCCCAACCTAGATCCCTTGTATGTGCAGTTCACAATTGGGTTTGCGCTCCTGTGAGAATCTAACGCCACCACTGATGGAAAGGAGGTGGAGCCCAGGCGGTAACGCTCGCTCCACCACCACTCCCCTCCTGCTGTGCAGCCCAGTTCCTAAGGCCACAGACCTGGTACTGGTCCACGGTCTGGGGGTTGGGGACCCTTGCTCTAGCACATCATTTTTAAGCCAAATTTTATTTTGACTTAATAAAATTACCAATGCCAAAAAGTGAGAGATCCTAAGGTCCTAAGTGGCAGCTGGTACAGTATGTGTTTTCAGTTGTTGATCGCTTAGACTGGAACCACATATGTGAATCATAATCATAGCAAGAGCCATAATCCACACACATGAAGGATCACAAAATAAAGGTTTGTAACAGGTCAAAAAGAGAGGCAGGTCAAGGCATCTTACAATCAAGGTCTTGGCCTCGTTTTAAGAACACCTTGCCTGTTTTCCTCTTCTGGGGAATGTCTGGATCCCAAACATTAAACATCATCTGGTTTTAAAGCAACCCGGAAGAGCTATTCAGCAGCTAGCTCCTACCAAGGCATCTTGATTGCTTCCCTCAGTGACATTTCTAGGGACATATCTCTGAGATGTGTCCAAGGTATCTAGCTCTTAGTCATCAGGGCAAAATCAAGCAAGAGAAGTGGAGGGGTCAGCTCTCCCATTTCTTTGGGTGAAGTATGGCCAATCCATCAGCAGGCCTTCCAAATTTGCATATGAGGCTTCTTCAAACTATCCTGTGCTATATGAAGTCAATTCTCAAATGGAGTTACTATAATAATGAGAAATAGCCCAAAGCTGTGAAGTCTGTAGGGTACTGACCTCTGAAGGCATATCTCAACCCAGCTGAAAAGTGGAAACCCACCCAAGATCCTCAATTCTGTCTCACAAGCTAGCAGTTAAAACCCAGATTACGATCACCAGAAACGAGAGCCAACATACATCAAGATTCCTTTTCTCTAAAGAGAGTGTTGCAATCATAGTTGTCATGCAGTTCCCTCCCAAACTGTCTCTTAGGACACTGGTCATCATGGAGTTTCTATAAGGGATGTGCGAACGATGCTTTTCTGAAAGAGCGATGATAACCTGTGGTAAAGTAGAAAGGTAATGGGATCAATTTAGCAGAAAATGCAAACCTGACAAACAATGGAGCTTCAACAGCAATGAAAATACAAAAGGAAATAATAACTAAATGCAGCGTGAAGCCCAAAACTTGAGAACAGAATAAACAGCTTAACAACAATATTCAGTACAAGATGGTAAAGACTGAATAAAGTAAATGTAGCATAACTGTGGCATTGTGAGCCCCATAATTTTTGGACAAATGAAATAACCTGTATAGAATTGGATAAACTATTATTCTGTTTTTAGTGATTGGAAAATGTGTATAAAAACACAAGAGTAAAACATGCCTAATTAATACTGCCAAAATTGGGCTGTACACCAGTAAACAAGAACTTAGGGAAACAGTAAAGGATAGTGGTTGAGGTCCCAGATTCTCAAGCAAGACTGCCTAGGTGCAAGTCCTAGCTTTCCTAGGGCACATCACTCGACATGCCTCAGTCCCCTCATCTGTAAAATAGGAATAAAAATCGTACCTAACTCAAAGGTGGTTGAGATGATTAAAAGAGTTAAAATGTGCAAATTACTTTGAATAGTACCTAACCTAAAACAAGTGCTGTATATAGGCTTGCTCCCGTTGTAAGCAACAGGAGCAATTTACCTTGGTTCAACTCTGGCTGGCTCATCTTACTCTTCATGAGTTCCTTAGGTACTTAATAAGAAGGTACTAGATGGATAGATGGCAGATGTAGCAAAGGCTGCTGAGGTTGTCCCAAAAGGAGGCACCTGGGGCTCATGGTTATCCTGGGCAGACAAATCCAGTGCTAGAATGTTCATTACAAAGCAGCAGTAATCAGCCACCCACAGGATGTGTCTTCAAGGACATCACAGGACCTTGGCTCCTGAAAATACCTCCACCAGCACCTGTCATTGTTCTTTCTAGTCCTCCCTTCTCCCAGGAGTGTAATTTCCATCACCAGAACCTCCACTACAATGTTAGTTTACAAAATAAAAAGGGAGCATTGTTTTTTGAAGGCTGTTTCTAGCAAAATATACAACTATACCACTAGTCTCACTCTAAATTCATGACCACAGATGTTAGTTAAATTCAGTAATCCTGTGATCTCTCTTTCAGAAATCACTTTCAACTCTCAGAAATAAGACCTTCACACTTTTTTTTTTTTCAAATCTTTGTTCACCTTCTTCTTCTCTCCTCAATTTCACTTTGAGCTGATGGCCACACTTCCACTAGATACGATAGATACAGATTCAGAACCCTGACCAGAGCTATCTCATGTCTCCATCCTTAAAGCCCCTATACACTCTGCCCTTCACCTTCTTATTGTTCTGCTGCTGTCTAAGGCCAGCCCTCCGTCCTTGCCCTCATCTGCTCTCTCTACCTTTCTCCTACAATTACTTCCTCTCTCATCTGAAATAATTTCCCTTTCATCTTCACAATTCCCATTCTGCATGCCCACTACAGTCCTAAATGAAGATGGCTCTTGCCACGTTCATCAGCAATCTTCATTGTACCAAGAGCACTGATTGCCCTCTTACTGGACTTCTGAGCTGAGTAAGCATGCAACACTGGTACTCACTGCCTCTCTTGGGAAACACTGTTCATTTGGTAACTGGGACACCACACTTCCCTGGTTTTCATCTTTTCTTAAAAACTAGTTAATGAATGTTTCTTTTTCTTATTCCCAAATTACAAACTTTGGAGTGCCCCAGGGCTCAGTTCTTGATCCTCTTTTCTGTCTTATCTACATTCTCTCCCTATGTAATCTCATTCAATCACCTGGCTTTAATTATTATTTTATTAACTTATTTATTTGAGACAGAGTCTCTCTCTGTTGCACAAGCTGGAGTGCTGAAGTGCAGTGGCATGATCTCAGCTCACTGTAGCCTTTACTCCTGGGTTCAAGTGATCCTCCTGCCTCAGCCTCCTGAGTAGCTGGGATTACAGGCATATACCACCATGCCCAGCTAATTTTTTGTATCTTTAGTAGGGACAGGGTTTTGCTATGTTGGCCAGGCTGGTCTCAAACTCCTGGCCTCAAGTAATCTACCCACCTTGGCCTCTCAAAGTGCTAGGATTACAGATGGGAGCCACCATGCCCAGCCACTGCCTGGCTTTTAAATGCATCTATATGCTGATGTCTTCCCAATTTATACCATCAATCTCAACCTCTTTCCTGAGCTACTATCGTCTTGGCAACTGTCCATCTCTACCAGGATTTCTATTCTTGATTTTCTTTCCTCATTGCCTTCAAGCCTGATTCTTTCTCAGATCTTACCCATAATCATTAAGGCCCCACCATCAATCCAGTTGCTCAGGCCAAAACCTTAGGCAATCACCCTTGATTTGCCCTCACCCAATATCCAATCCATCAGCAATTTCTATTTGGTTTACCTACAACACTTGCCAGGAATTGGACCACTTCTTACCACCTCTTCTTACCACCATCACTCCAGTTCAGTCCTCTGGGGTCCCTTGCTTGGGCAACCACACAGGCCTTGGATTAGTCCCCCTGCTTCTACTTTTGCCCTTCCATGATCTGATCTTCACAAAGCAGCCAGAGAACCCTTCACACAATGTTAAGTTACGCCAAGTCACTCCCTAATACACTTAGCATAATATCCCAGCTCCTGGGTGATCTGTCCGTCTACCTACCTGACATCATGTCCTGTCATGTTCCCTGTGCCTGCACTGGCCTTCTGATTGCTGATTCAGCATGACGAGCTTATCCCCACACCAGAGCCTCTGAAACTGCTGTTCATTTTGCCTAGCATGCTCTCGACCCAGACTTCTGTGCAGCTTTCTGCTTCTCATTACCCACATCTTTGTTCAAATTTTGTTTTCTCACAGGGGCATCGCCTGGACACCCTGTCAAAAATAATACACCTACCTCCAGCCTGTTAATCTATTTCATTTTTCTTATAGTATGTATCACTACTAAAATTATATCTAAGTACTTATTTGTTGTCTGCTTCCCCGCTAGGCTTTCTGCTCTGCAAGACCAGAGATGTTGTCTCTTTTCTTCATAGCTTGACGCCCGCTGCCTAGAACAGTGCTCAGTACTTGGTAGCATGGCAGAAACAAAGCTGTCTCCCTCAGCTCTCATGACAGCCCTCCTTCTAGTTTGACTTCCTATGAAATTATTTCTCCTAGTCTGTCTTGAAACTCATGTTTTGTTTCAGACATAGCTCCACCACGCAGACAGCCCTATGTGGGGTTTGGATGTGAGCAGTGAGAGGTGGTAGGCATAAGGAGGAACTTCGGATTTGTGGGAGGCATGGTGGCAGAGGTATCTGAGTCTTCTAAGGCAGCTATGGGGAAGTTTCTGGAATTCAGTGCCATGTGGCTATACAGTAATACTTTGCAGTGCAGTTCAGCGGTGTGGTTAGGTGTGTCTCCTGGTTGCTCTGTGTAGCAGCGAAACCCAGTTTTTCTGATTTTTTTGAGATTCTTTGTTTAATAAACTATGCTTCTTAAAATAGCTAGAGTGGATTTTCCAGTTTACAACTAAGAAACTTGACAAATATAATATGTGCTTGACACATTTTTGTCAAATAAATCAATTAATGAATGAGAAGATTACTTAGTATGTCCTAGGAAGGCAGCGTGAAGGTCATCGGTATGGAAGGAGGTTTGAGAGAACTAAGTTTCAGTGTAACTGGAAAGGAGGTAGGGAATATGGCAGACCAAAGTCAGAATGGCAAGAGATGCCAAGCAGAACTCCAGGCTCTAAGAATGAAGAGGACAGATTAAGTATCTAAAAACACACAAGGAGGGTCCAAATATCCAAACGGGCTGGGCTGACAGATATGCAGACACAGTGGCATTATTGCTCATAAATAATGTCTCTAAGTACTTTGAAGTCCTTTTATAAAACCAATGTCACTGGTTTTATCCTGCTCTAGGAAACAATATTGATGTCTTTTCATTCAATGGCTTTATTGACAACTTAAAGGAGAATATGCTTATTAAACTTCCTGTTGACATTAATTTTATTTTTTGAGGTGGAGTTTCACTCTTGTTGCTCAGGCTGGAGTGTAATGGCACAATCCCAGCTCACTGCAACTTCTGCCTCCCAGGTTCAAGTGATTCTCCTCCCTCAACCTCCCAAGTAGCCGGGATTACAGGCGTTTCCACCACCACACCCAGCTAATTTTGTATTTTTAGTACAGATGGGTTTCACCATGTTGGCCAGGTTGATTTCAAACTCTTGACCTCAAGTGATCCACCAACCTCAACCTCCCAAAGAGCTGGGATTACAGGCGTGAGCCACCGTGCCTGGCCCCATTTGATATTAAATTAATCATATGTTAGTAAACTTGCTTTTGGTTGCAAGAAACAGAAAATGTAATCCAAACTGGTTTTAATTATAAGGAAAATGTATTGTATTGGTTCATGTGATTGAAATAGGAAAGGCTTTAAGTTAGAAGGAAACCAAAAGATTAATGTTACCATCAAGGACTTAGTTTTTGCTCATATCTCTGCTATGTCTTCCATGTGGTAGAAGTCAGTCTCTTCTTGTGGCCCCACAATGGTTGCCAAAAGCCCTAATGTTACTTACTTCCTTATTCATAACTTAGGTGAGAAAGAATTTTTCTTTCCTAATCATTAGACAAATTCCTGAGCTTCAGTAGAAATTAGCTTGGGTCCTGGGCCCATCCTTGAATTAATCACTGTAGCCAGGAGAAAGACAGGCTCCAATTCACTTAGATCAGTCAGGATCTACCTGACAAGTTGGGATGGGCTCTTGGATGCACTTCTCACTGACATGGATATTGCAGAGGCCAATTCCAACATCCTCTGTAGAAAGGGCTTTCTAAAGAATTGGAGATCAAATTGGGATGATACATTAGAAAATATGGTCTTAAAAATGGAGAAAATGAAGGCAGTCATCTTAGGGAAATCTCTTAAATAAAGTGAGCCTCTTAAATAAAGTGAGCCTCAGTTCCCTCACTTATAAAAGTAGTATTGAAATGTCTCTCTCATAGAAATGTTTTAAAAATTAATAGAGATAATTTCTGGAATCATTCTTAGTAAGCAAAAAAGCACTCCGTGTTATTGAAAGAAATGTTCTTTAGAAAATGTTCATGTAATGTTCTTTATGAAACTCTTGAAGACTAATTTTCACCATATCAACACACTTGCGGGCCATTTCTTTAGAAAAGGACCCTGAGAAGGTATCTTATCAGCTCTCAAGGAGCTTTAGGAATACCATAAGCCCAGCCCACTTGGAGCAGATGTAAAACTTTGGAATGACCCAGAAATAGCAGATCGTTAGGAAAGAGGCAGAAGTAGATTATTCTTTGTGGGGCTGCTGTGAGTTCTTAAATTGCGCAGGAGCCGAATTTTCTGAAAGGCACAAGAAAATGGGGTAGTCATAAAACCTGACTTTTTAATTTTTATTCTTTTCATCTTAGATTGCATGTACAAATACAATGGCAAATATTCCTGAAGTCATTCTTTAAGTGACAAGGAGTGGAACCTCACATTATGCTTAATAATATCTCCAAAGTATCTAGAAACTGTGCCTGCAATCAATAATTCTATTTACTATTTAATGAGCTAAATATTTTTTCAAAGGAGGTCAGAAGCATTTGGAAAATTATCCTATGAAAATTGACAAAGATTTGGAGTGTTACAACTGGCACTGACACCATTACTTTTTCTCCTGAACACAATACATTTAGTGGAAGCCAAATAGAAACTAAAACTCTGAAAAAGTCCCATTTATTTTGAATAATGGCTGAAGGCAACTCCGATTCTGATTTCTGTAGTGGTCCAGAGCAAGCACTTCATTTCTAGTGGTTTCTCACTTGATGTTTGGGCTGATAGAGGCTACGGGTCACACCAGGAGCACTCGGTGAGATTTAGGACAAGTATGCATGTCTCCCTTTTCCTCCCAAAAACTCAATTTCTAGGGCCAAGATGTACCCTGTTATTGTGGATTAAAATATTTTTGAGGAAACTTTTTGCAAGAAGTACTGCATACACAAGGAGAACTCCAAAACCAACAATACTCTGGCAAACAGAAAGTTATTTACTTGTGAACACATAAAGTACACTCAACTCAGAGAGACTACCCACTTTGAGCAGGTGTGAGATTTCACAGTTACGGCCAAAAAGTAATTATAATGTTTCATGGAATTTGTAGAACCAACGTAGGCTAACTGAAGTAAGACAAGTTACCAAATGATTTCCCATTCCATCTCTATCTTATATATTGAAACTGAGAAAGAGAGGATATAATTGATTACCAACACTCAGACGGATTTCTATTATAGATTTCAAATAACTGTACTGCTAAGTATTTATTTGTATGCTTTGCTATTCTGCTGGCTAACATGATAGCCTGGCCTACTTCTAGTCATTCATTTATCCCATTGCCCCACATAACTCAAGCCCCAGTAAACATTCAATCACAATTTGTTGAATGAATGAATGAAGCTAATTACATTAAATTGTGTTACATTTGCAGTCTTATTAGTACTATAATAAAGTACTACATAAAGAGAAGTTGATTAACAAAGTTTCTCGAATTTTGTTCTTCATTAAATATCTTCCTTCTCTATTATTCTTATTCCTATGTACTCCTTGGTTTTCTCTTATTTCTTTCTGTGTGAAACTCGAAATTTCTACCGACCTGCTTTCTCTCTAGCACCTACTCCTAGATTTACTCAGCCTCGCATGTTCATGCTCACAGACTAGTTTTTCCATATTTATGTTTTTCTTTCCTCTCCCACTAATCTCTTCTCTCTCCATTATCTTATGTTGAACCTCCTTTTTTCCTGTGAAGACACTTGTATATCAGTGTAAATGGTTAACAGCTGGAGTGATGCAGTGGGTGAAGATGAAACATCAGTTACAGAGACCAAGGGCCAATGACATGTGAATGTCATTGAGACCCTGAGCAAATTCATCCCCCTGGGCTTGAGCTAAGAGCCGAGAGGCTCGCAATTCCCACTGCCTGCCATGATCTGCCCCATCCTTAATTGGCTCAATTCCACTCATTCCTCCAGTCTCTGCATGGTATCAGAACCTAAGAAAACCACCACCACCTTTCACCTCCTCAGTCTCAGTCAGATACCCCACTGCAAGCTCCTCTCACTCCTTTTACTTTCTCTTCACTGCTCTCACCTGGCTTACAGCCACATACTTAACGAATATGTCTTTAATTCCTGTCTCCCTACACTGAACCAAGAGGTCTTTGGGGAAAGGACTGTTTCTATTTTGTCCACCACTAGGCACCAGTGCCTAGCACAGCCCTCAGCACATTGTAGTTCATTATAAATATTTGTTAGATAAGTAAATTAATGATATAGAAAATCCAATGCCACATAGCCCCCAAGACTACTCATACGAGGCTGTCATAAGAATTTTGAAGAGAAGAAATGTGAGGAGAGAAACAGTTTTAGTGACAAGTAGCAGCTTGTAAAGGCTTATAGGATAAAAAAAAAAAAAAGAATTAAGGGCAGAGCATTTCTCTTGAGTGATTACAATTGGTGGGAAGTCTGATTCAACTGATAAACATAATTTTGTATGAACAGATGGATATAATGGAAATTAAAACAGACAGCGCTACCATCCGAAACAAGCAGACGCATTTCTTTGAAATAAAGCAGTTTGAATACAGCCCATTATGTTTTCATATCAATGTTCTGTAAGTGTTCTATTAAGTAAAAAGCCCTGTTAAGTATAAGCAGTGTGTAATATTTGAGCAAGAAAGAGCTTAGGAATGCTGACTCCTGTTAAAAACACTAAAATGATCTGAATGCCAGGCTGGCCTTAATCTCTGGGTGCTGCATGACTGGGATTCATCTGGTTGGATTGGAGTGTAGCCACGTGTACCTTGCTCAGATAGGATTCCTTAGGTTTCTCTCCATCTGCTTTTTTAGTCAATGTGACCATTACAAAGCATTTAACACTGAGGCAACATCAGTCTCAGAAGGATTCATTAAGCAGTTAAAAAAAAAGTTTTATTTTTTCCCCTCCAATTTTTTAGCCAAATCGTTAACAAGTCCTTCAGCCTCACCAAGGGTCTGTACTTCTCCACTCCGATTTTTGATCATGTTTCTTATTTATTTTATTTTATTTTTTGAATTTGGAAGTAATTGCCATCTTTAACATTCAACTCACAGCCCTTATACTCAGAAAGCTAAATGGAACTTGAGAAATCATCTAATTCAATCCACTCATTTTAGAGATGAATATATTTTTTCTGAAAGATTTATTTAGCTAAATTCAGATGAGTGTTCTCTCCCCTGACATTAAATTCAGAAATTAAAAATAGAGCCCATACTGGGGTGGATTGTAATCAGCTTGGGGTAGATGTAGGATGAGAAAGCTACAAGTCTAATAGAACCATCACGGGGTCAAAATTACCAACTAAATAAAGTCTCCCCAAGCAGAAAACACGTCAGCCATCTCAAAGTTATGTTCCCATTATTAATCAACCAGCTTGAAAACAGGCAACAGGAAGCCAATTGTAATTTCTACTTACCTACTACTAATTTTACAATAAGGCAGTAAGACAAAAAGTGAAAAATGGTATAGGCTGTGAAGCCAAGCAAATCTAGAATCAAATCCTTATCCTCCCCTAGCTGGGTAACCTTGTGGGAAGACCTTTGGAAGACTTGAATTTTAAAATCTATATAATGGGGATAGTAACTAATACCTACAATCTAGGGCTGTTGTGAGGGTTCAATAAAACAGTAGATACAAAATGCTAGTAGATCTACCAATGTTCCCAGCAGCATTAGTCACAATAGCCAAAAGGCAGAAACAATGCAACTATCTGTCAGGGATGAATGTATAAACAGTATGTGACATAGACATACAATTGGATATTATTCAGTTTAAAAAAGGAAGAAATTCTGATACATGCTACAACATGGATGAAGCTTGAAAACATTATGCTAAGGGAAGTAAGCCAGACACAAACAGACAGCTGTTGCATAATTCCACTTACATGAGACGAGACACCTGGAATAGGCAAATTTATAGAAACAGAAAGTAGAGTAGAGATTACCAGAGACCAGAGTACAGGGGAATGGGGAGATTCTGTTTGAGAGTATTAAAAACCTTCAGAAATGGATAGTGTTGATAGTTGCACAACTTTATAAATGTACTTAATGTCACTGAGTTATACACTTAAAAATTATTAAAATGGCAAATTTTATATCTATTTTATCATAACAAAAATATTCTAATAGAATGCCTGATACATAGTATGTGATCAGCAAATGGTAGCTATAGTTATTAATGCATCCCACTCTGCCCATTTTACCTGCTCTAAGTAATGTAGTGACAAGTTGATGTACTTGGCCTCCGTTAGAAGATGGCCCCCTACTCCAGTCTTTGCAACTCGCTCCGAACCAGCCAGGTCAACCAAATGAAGTTTGGCATGTCGTATAGTTGCAGATCCTGGTTCTTTGCTTGACAAATGAACAGTGAAAATGCAGTGGGAACGGGTTGAAGCTTGGTTCATAGGAGTCTATAAAAAAATTGCAGAAAAAAATCATTTGAATAATGAGAATTTTTGAAGAATATCAAAAGTTTTAAAATGATATTTTTAGGGATAAGACATTTCCCATTAAGCCAACTTTCAGCTGCAGCAAAACCACTTGTAACTCAGACCTTTAAAGTAAGTTATTTTTAACGTATTACCTCTTGAATTACTGATGACCACTGTGGATGGTTTCACTCAGAAAGCGAGAAAAGAGTTCTAATGAGGTATAGATTGAGTCCTTTTGCCAATAGAGCTTTATTTTATTATCTGACTATAATCCATACGTTAACCTTGGCTAGCCAGATTGAAAAAGCTTAATGTTAATCTCATGGGAAAAAAGGTGAGAATGTGTGTATCAGAAAAATTAATGATCACAATTGTAAACATAATCCACAAAGAAACCTACCATCGCTGCTACTATTCAACACTAAAGTGGAGGCCCTAGACAATATAATGAACAAGAAAAAGAAATAGAAGGCATAATAGTAGGAAAAGAAGAAATTTAAAATGCCATTACGTATAAAAAATATGGTGGTCTACATAGAAAATGCAAGAGCATCTCCAAACAAATGGCTAAGAACTAAAAAGTTTAGCATGGTTGCTGGATATGAGATGAATATATAGAATGAATGAGGTTCTACTAAGTCAGAGCAACAATTAATCAGAACTATATAATATTATTCACAATGGCAAGAAAGACAATGAAATAATAAGGGATGAATTTTATAAAGGATATGTGATTTATAGAAAAAATGATAAGATAAGATAACAGTAAAGGACAAAGAAAACTGGAGTAAAGGGTGTACATGACATTAATACACCATTTCATAGATGGAAAAGCTCCAAATTAATCTATATATAAATGTCTATATATAACCTATATATTCAATGCAATTAAAATTAAAATGCTATAGCTTTTGTTTACAGAAAAAGACAAATTGATCCTAAATATCATACAGAAGAGAAATCTTCAAATAAAACGAAAAGTAATGCTGTTTACACTTCCTTATTGAAGATGCTATATCAAAAAATAAGAAGAGAAAAAAAGCAAAAGTAATTATGTGAAAGAAGAACAAGAAAAGGGACTTTCCTGCCATCTATCAAGGTATACCATAAAGCTACAGTAACTAGAACAGTGTGGTACTGGTGCAGGAGCAGACAGCTAGGTCAGTGAGACATGCTATGCTCACTGAGGAGCTGTGTATGAGATAGAGGAGACATCATACCTCAGTGGAGGAAGGATGCACTTATTTAATAAATGGTGCTGGAATAACCAGCTATCTATCTTGAAAAAAATAACTTAGATTGCTTTCTTAAACTATGAACACAAAGAAATTCCAGAATAGATTAAAGCTTTAAGTGTGAAATAACACAATTCTAGCACCAATACAATGAAACATGAAAGCATATTGTAATCAACCCAAGGAGGTAATAGATACTTTAAGAAAAGACATAAAACACAAAAATAAATTGATTTAAAATATATTGCCAAGATAATCCAAAATGTAAAAACTTCTGTCTGATAAAATCCACCATAAAATTAAAACACTAGAAGACATCTGCAGTATATATGGCTGACAGAACGTTAATAATAAATAAAGAACTTGGCTGGGTGCTGTGGCTCACACCTGTAATCCAGCACTTTGGGAGGCTGAGGTGGGTAGATCATTTCAGGTCAAGAGTTTGAGATCAGCCTGACCAAAATGGTGAAACATGTGTCTACTAAAAATACAAAAAAAAAAAAAAGTCAGGATTGGTGTCATATATCTGTAGTGCCTGCTACTTGGGAGGTTGAGGCGGGAGAATCGCTTGAACCCAGGAGGCAGAGATTGCAATAAGCCAAGCTTATGTCACTGCACTGAAGCCTGGGTGACAGAGCGAGACTCCATCTCAAAAGATAAATAAATAAAGAACTCTCGCCAATCAGTAAGAAAAGGTGAGCAAAGAATATAACTAGGTAACTCATAAAGAAGAAATCTGGAAACAGTTAATGAATATTTGGAAAAAATGCTCAAATTTATACATAATCAGAACCACATCACTTAGAACCATAAGGTTAAACTATTTTACACCCATCAGACTGGAAAATTTTTAAAAAATAGAGTCTAACAAAATAAGTGTCGGTGGAGATATAAGGAAATGGGAAATTTTATGTACTGTTGGTGGAAATATAAATTAAGAACAAATGTTGAAAGCAATCTGATAATATGTGGCAAAGCTGCAAATACATATAAACCCACAGCCATCAGTAAACTACTAGATATATTTCTTAGAAAAAAATAAATAGCAAGAAATGCGCACAAGATGCAGAACCTAAGTAGACATCTGTGGCAGAAAAGATTAGTAAACTGAGATAATTCAAATTACAGAGATGTTAAAATAAAGAGACTTTGGGTAGATCGGCATAAATAGTTTTCCAAAATATAATTCTGAGAAAAAAATGCAAGTTAAATAATGATATGAACACTATAATACAATTTACAAAATTAAGAAAGCAATATTATATATTGTTCATGAAGCTATAACGTAGGTAATTAAGTATAAAAACACAGGCCAGAAGGATACACCAAACTAATGAAAGCAATTGCATTTGTGAGGGATGGAAATGAAAGGCCAAGAAAGGGGCCTTCAGCTTTACCTGCTGTATTCTATTCCATTTAGTTAAAAATTATTAGAAGCTATTCCTGGATTGGAAAACATGGATGTTGGGCACATTATTCTCTGCACTTTTCTGTGTTTTACATTTTTTGGAACAAGAAAGAAATTAATCTGATTCAAGATACAAGTGACAAGTTAGCAGTATCATCCTCTGAAACAACAACAAAATATTCCAAATGAGTATTCATACAAATAAATATGTCCAGATCTCCACCTTTGCAAAATAAGATTTAACCAAAAAAATTCAATATGGATGCACACATGTGCAGACAGGGTAACATATCCGAATGGTAATTCAACCAGAAATTCTTTCTGTAAATATAAATTCTTGATATACACCATAGTTGACTTACACCAACTAGCAAAATAAACAGATGTCAAAATGCTGGCATAGTTTTGGTGATGATGTATCTAGTGAGTTAAACAGGCTGAAAATTTGACCCATTACTTGTTGCCACAATAACTATGCCCAAACCTGGCCAGTGTGTGATTTTGCCTGCTAAAGTGGATCAGCAAATAACTGTGCATGTAAAACCGCAAACTCAAATTTAGAACCTAAGTTGAGGTGTTTTGGAAGTGACTGTAAGTTATTTGCAGAACTTAAACATGGGTTTCATTTCACTGTCATATTCGCACAACAATAAATCCTACAATACTGTAACAAAAGTCAAACTGACAATCAATATAAACAAATAACATGGAGACTTCTCAACAGCTGTCTTCAGCTTCGAAACTGATATTCTGAAACCATCATAAAATGTGAACCATTAATGAATATTGGTAGAGTGTACCCATTTCAAAGGAATATGAGATTCACAGAAACTAAAATTGCATATTCTGGAGTCTGTAATTAAAATGCAGTAATATGCTGTAGGAGTCCCTGCCTACAGTTTTGCAACTTCTTATAAATATTTTCTGCATGAAGTAGCAGTTGGTGTCCTCTTAGATAAAAATTTCTTAAACCTCAGAAAACATTCTTTATGTGGAGCTTTTCAAGTGTGATTGGATGTGCTTGTGTCTGCTCTGTGTTTATTTAAGGATGTCTTTATGTCTCATAGGCATGGCCCTACGTTTGTCTTTTTAAAGGTAAAATTGTATTAAAATGTTTCTGAAACTGCCTAAGAACAGATGGCACCATTTAGGCAGATTCATTCAAAGTTAAGCACACATTTTAAACAAATGTGCTTTTGGCACTAGCAACTGTGCCTGTGGAAAAATTTTAGTGATGATTAATCATCTGCATGCAGAGAGCTTTCAGGTTTCCTATTAGCCTACGTATATCACTGTCTTAGGCAGTACAGAGACAAGAAGGAAAATAAGACCTGGATCTTGCCCTCAAGGAACTTACAATCTAGTCAGGATCTAAAGCCACAAGGTGTGAAATGAGAATGAGCATGAAATGAGAAAGGCAAAACGTGCAGTAAAGAAAGTGATCTGTTCTTAGCAGTGAACACGCTGATCCTCTAGGTAACATCTGAAAATGCTAACCATTCCTTCGTTGTAGGAACTTTCCACCTTCTGCCCACCACCTGGTTTCTAGGGCCAGATACTCTCCAGGCACTTTCTCCTTCTCTATCGCTTTTTCCTTTACTCTGCTCTCTTCTTTTCAGTCCCTAAAAATAGGTGTGTCCTAAGCTCTGGTGACCATATTTCTTCTGCTTAGAGACTCATATTCTACGGTTCAAATCCTCACTGCATAGGCTCTGTAGTATAATAAAAGACACACCAAAAATCTCAGAATTTGGTGTCAGATAATCTGGTTTCAAGTCCTGGTTCTGTCACTTACTAGTATTAAAAGCTTAAGCAAATTTACATGAAGAAATTTTGATTTTCCTGTTTCTAGAATGTCATATTAAGACCTGCTTTGTTGCACAGTTATATTAAATACCAACTGAGTTACTGAGTGCTGAAGTGATCCATGAAGTGTAAAGGGTCATATCAGTGTCACTGTTGACATTCACTTTATTCAGATGCCTCCTGTGCCCTTATCCTCTAACTTAATTGTTCTGTATACCAGATTAGAATGTCTAACAGTTTGACTGGTCATAGTCATTAAAATGCCTTGCCAGCATCTTGTACACAATGTTCCCAAAACAACAGTCTCTCTTTCTCTCCCTCTGTGTCCCATGAATGGATACCCAACCCATTCTCCTCCTGTTGGATTTCCCTCCACTTCTCTGTATCTACATCAGTAGCCAAATACCTTTTGCCTCTCACTTGGGTTACTGCAGTCTCTCCCTTCTAGTCTCAGTCCTCTTGGCCCTTCCAATTGTCCTCCACCTCTCAGACAAAGTAGTATTTTTAAAAGGCATAGTTGATTAATGCCG